TCCTTTAAGTATTTGTATATTGGTTTTTAGTCAGTGTCTGACAACCTTGGGTTGACAGGTACCACCCTGTGTTGGAGCATGGTATCTTGTGCTGACATAGTACACAGGTGCCACCTGCTCCCATGAAGCTTGTTGTGGCACCAACACTGTGTATTTGTGACCTCCAACCATGCTCACATTGGAGGAGGTGTCCCTACATGGACAGAGTGTGCTGCTCCCAACATGGCTTGGCCTTTGCCTGCAGTAGTGCTTGGTGTGTGGTCCACAGCTACCTAGAATGAAGATGTCAGCACAGTCCCCAGCCAGTGCCCAGTACCCTCCCTGTCAGGTTGTGGGAAGTAGCTGAAAGCTCACAGTGACATCTCAGATGTGCTTAATAGATTCTCTACAAAATCCCCCGCTATGTTGATGAAAACATTGTGCTCCAGCTGCTTACCTTGGGCTTATTGGGCCAGTCCTCACCACCAGAATGGCAGAGGTACAGCTGAGTGTGTTTCTTGCTAGAGGATGACAGCCGAGGCACACCGGCGTGTGGTAGTGGAGTACCTGCGGGCTATCATGCAAAAGCGCATCTCTTTCCGGAGCCCTGAGGAGCGCAAGGAGGGTGCTGAGAAGATGGTCCGGGAGGCTGAGCAGCTGTGCTTCCTGTTCCGGAAGCTAGCATCTGTAAGTTGCAGGCATGGCTAAGGGCACTGGAGCTAGTCGTGTGGACACAGAATCCTATGGTCCTGTGGCTGGTTTTTCGTTTCCACCCTGGGACATGCAAATTGGTGGGTGGGAACCAGTCACACAAGGGCCCAACAATAGACTAGTTCCCTGTCAGGGACAAGGGTCTGGGTCCAGAGCCCTCCTGGCCCCATGGATGATAAATGCATTACGAAGAGGCTCATGCTATTAGCAGCAGCTGTTGATTTTTCAGGCAGTAGCCTGTGGCTCTGTGGCATGATACCTACCATCCTGTCCATCCCCTGCCCTTCTCTCTTCTCTTCTGAGATCCTGGTTGCCTGCCACCCAGTGACCTAACTCCAGGCTCCCACTGTGCCCATTAAAAGTCTGGGTCAGGCCTCTCTTCCATAGTGTCAGGGCGTCCACAGGAAAGGCAGGGCACTGGCCAGAAAGGGGCTAGGGAAGTCAGAATAAAGCTGTCCTGTTCATGGGCAGTAGCAAGGCTGCTCCTCACTCTGCTGTTTTCCAGGGGTTTGGTGAAGAGGTGGATGGTTACTGTGACACCATTGTTGCCGTGGCAGAAGTTATTAAGCTAACAGACCCTTCCCTGCTCTACCTTGAGGTCTCAACTCTGGTCAGCAAATATCCAGACATCAGGTAATCACTGTGCATCTTCCTGGTGAGCTGGCCAGGGAGTTAGGAAGATGAGCTGTGTGCACACAGGGCAGGGGGGCAGACCTTGGCACCAGCTGGATATGTGGTGGAGGGTGGCCATGGTGATGGCTGTGGACGTGAGGGCAGCAGCGTGACTTCTGTGCAGTGTCCTGCCCGCCCTCCTATGTGCACAGACCTCTGCCTGAGTGGACAGACATCTGGGGCACAGTCTAATTGCCAGTGTGGGCAGTGATGGGTTTGGTGGAGAGGGTTGGGGTCTGGGAGCAGCTTGGACAGGTGGTAGGAAACCCTGGCCTGCAGTACTTGTGGGACCTAAGGAAAGGAGTCTGTATGCCTTGTATGACTGGGATAGCTTTCCATGTTCATAACCTTAGGGTCCCTGATGTTGGGCTGAGGTAAGGGGAGCTCGTGTCCTCTTGCCCACAGTGCTGGGCCTGGCATTGGCCTGACCTTTGTGATCCTGCCCCTCCTTGAAGGACGAATGTAGCTGAGCTCAGTCTGAACCCACTCCTTGCTACTTCAGCTCTGCTGAGGGGAAGAGTGAGTTCTTGAGCCCTCCAAGTCCCCCTAAAGGGGCTGTCCTTGAATCCAGGGATTCTCAGAGCATGTGTAAAGCCTTGTGGTGTGTGGAGAAATGGCCACAGTAAGAAGAAAATCAGGCAAAAGGTGCCTTTGTCTGCATATCCACACCTGCCTCCCACGGGTCACCTGTGTGGGGATCAAGCAAGAGTAGGTGTGTGGGCTAACGCCTGTGTCCCTTTGTCACAGGGATGACCACATCGGTGCGCTGCTGGCCATGCGTGGGGATGCCAGCCGGGACATGAAGCAGACCATCATAGAGTCACTAGAGCAGGGCCCTACGCAGGCAAACCCCAACTACGTGCCCCTCTTCAGGGAGATTGTTGTGCCCAGTCTGAATGTGGCAAAGCTCCTCAAGTAGCCGGCCGTTTGCTTGTGTATGTCCCTCTGAGGCAGAAGCATATTAAAGCAAATGTCCCTCTCCAGGGCCACCATTGGTGGTCTCAGCAACAACATGCCTATCCTTAGATGTGCTCAAGTATGTGTGGGTGAGGGCTGTGGGGTGGCTTCTGGGTGCCTGGTTCTGTGGGTTTTTCCACCCTGATGTAAATGTGCTTTGTGAGGACGTCTTTGTATGAAGCCTCTCAGTCACTTGTCATGGGAAATGTGTGTGGGTGTCCCTTACTCCCCCATCACGGGCCTCTCTGTCCAGCATGCACACTCAGGACCTCTGCCACCTGATTAAAAGAAGTGAAAGCCAAGTGGCTTCTGCCTGTGATGTATCATTCCCAGAAGTTGCTGGGTTTGCCTTGGCTTTCCTAACTGTCCTGAGGCCAGCTCCTTGTGCCTCATTACAGAGGAGCAACTCACCTGCTGGATGCAGGGAGCCCCACCCACGTAAGCAGAGCTGCCCGGGGCAGTGCCGGCTGTGTCAGGCACGCCAGGATGAGCAGTGCCAGGAGCGTGTCAGTAGAAATGGATATGAATGGCTATTTGGAATATGTTTCAAGATCTGTATGTCATGCTTATTTGTGATACAAAATCCCTAAAATAATTCTTCCCAAACTCAGCCTTGCCTATATAGCATCTGCCTTCGTTGGTAGCATCATTCTGCAGTTATCTTTAACTTCTTCCCTGTTTTTGGGTGATGCTGGGTATTAGACCCAGGACACTGTGCATGCTAGGCAAGCACTCTACCATGGACCTACTCCCCAGTCCTTCTTTTATTTTGAGGCAGGTCTTGCAAAATTGCCCAGACTAGTCTCAAACTTGCAGTCTGCCTCAGTAATGGCAATTAGAGGTGTACACGGCCATGCCTTGCTTAGTAACTTTTAATTTAAGCTACTTAAGACAATTGCTCAAGAATGAGCAGTGAACCCGTGTCCTTGCAGACTCTGTACACCTGTTCAGCAGAGCAGTGCCAACAGCTCCATGAGAGGAAAGATGTGGCCTGTGTCCTTCTGCCCAGGCTCCCTATATACACAGAGGGTCATCCTCCATCCTCAGGACTCTATAGAGTCAATGAGAGGTGGAGAACATGGCAGGACCCATCCTGAGGGATGTCGTGCACTGACGGTGTTAGCTGCGTACCACACGACCACTCTGAGCATGCATAGAATGCTATGTTTTCTATCTTTGAGATGGCACAGTTGATGTCCTGCTCTTACTTCAGCCTCACAAGCTAAGGAAAATTCACAAATAGGCCTTTGTCTCGGAATGGAAGTAAGTGAAACTTGGGAGAGTGATCTAGGAGGTTCACATGAGACAGAGCCACCCTGGTGACATCCAGCTGCTGCTTGTGGTTTGCCTTCTCTGTCTAGCCTGCAGTGGGTGTAACTTAATGGAACTAGAACCCACCATGCTGACGATCATTATTTATCATACAGTACTTTGCTCCTGTGTACGCAGATGTAGGCCATGGTCACCACAGGCCCATGATGATTGAGCTCTGGCTCTGTAGCCAGACAGAAGCACATGCATGTCTGTGCCTTTGGAAGCCAGATGTGCTGGCAGCCATGGGGAGGGCACTGTCTACTTCCTGGCACATGGGTATTATCCATCCTGACACCAGGGGAAGGTCATCTCCAAGCTCCTCTGGAGGGGACACCTGTGTGTAGGCCTGGGCAGGCCCATCCTGTGAGGAAGGTTGGTATCTGCTTCCTGCACAGTGCAGCAGGGGGCTATTACCAGACAGAGAAGCCATGTAGAGGGCAGTTGTCCCTGAAGCCTGGCCTGGAAGCATTGCAGCCCTTCCTGCTGCCTGCAGCCCCACATTCCATGGCTCAGTTCATCCTCCCCAGGCCAGCAGAATAGTGTCTGCCAAGCCAAGAGAGTTCCTTGCTCTTGATCCAGTGAATTTTCCTTCCTGTCTGCTGACACAATGGTAGGTAAGCCCCCTTCTCATGGCTGCCCCACATGGACCCGTGGCCAGATCCAAAGGGAGGTGGAGAAAGAGCCACCATGGCTCACCCTTCCTTCTCACTAGGATGGGCCAAATTGCACCCCCCATGCACCCACACCCTGAAAAGTGGGCTGAGGTATTAACCCCTGGACCTCAAATGTTGCTTTGTACAGAAATGGGATCAGTGCAGGTGTGACTGAGATAAAGTCACATAGGAGTGGGCAGGCATTGTGTGGGGACACAGTGGGAGGGGATGTGTGTTGTAGAGATAGGCTTAGGAGGAGGCATCTACATGCCAGAGATACCAGCAGCCACTGGAGCTGGCAGAGACCAGAGGACCACCCTCGTCACAACTGTGACCTTGTGAGCCTCCTACTAGGGTTGTCACATTCTGGTTCACTGGTTTAAGATGGTTGTGGGTCACTTCACAGCTGTGCCCAGTGGCTTCCTCACAGTGGCCAGGGCCACCCTACAGGCAGCATGGGACACACATCTGTGTCAGTGTTAACTTCAATGCAGAGCAACACCTGCCTACCAAGAGACTGCTCTGTAAATCCTGGGTTTTTCCTTTACAGTTTTCATGCAAAATGCCTTAAAGTGTTTTAATAGAGCTGGGCAAGCAGTTAGTCTTGGAGGCTGTGATGAGCTCCCTGTGCAGATGCTGCCACCGTGTATCTGGAGGGACATCTTAAGGCACATTACTCTGGCCAGTTACACTCACAATTCACCACTCATAAAATCCACCTCAGTGGACAAAATTCTTTAAATTTCTTTTCATAATAGACGGTTGTTATACAGCACATTGAACACTGTAACAAAATTATTTTCAAGAAAAATACAGAAGTGAGAAATAGCAATTTTCTAAATTTGTGTACATTACAGTACCACAAAGTAGGCCAAAGTTCAGTATTAAATAAATAGATATTCTAATAAAAATTTTTACTACAGCTTCCATAAGGAAATACATTCATGGACTGTTTACATTTTTGTTTTACAAGTGACAGCAATAGCAGGGTTCTTCTGTCTGAAACATGGCCACAGTGCCCTCAAAGGGCATGAGGTGGCTTCCCAGGACCAATTGCTTCCTTGTCTGAGCTCTGGTTCCACTGCAGCTGTGTCTAGCCATGCAGTTGACACCTGCCCAGATAAGGCTGTCCCCCCTTAGAGACACCAGCATGAAGTGTCAAGGGGACATCTGTCCCAGATTTGTCACCTAGCCCTTCTGACCCTGCAGTGGGAATCGGACCCTGCATCTCGTGGCTTAGGTAGGTTAAGGCAGCTCCTGCTGTGAGCAGGCTAGCCACTTGGCTGCAGGACTGGTGGGCTGCCCTGCTCTCAGAGCACCCCAGGTAAGGCTTCCCAAGTTGCACCGGCTGTCTATGCTGCTGGCTGGTCTCATCCGTGAGGAGAGCAGCTCCTGGAAACCAGAAGTCCTGCACTCCCCTCAAGAGGACTGAGCTGTGATTCAGTGACAGCAGACAGTTCTGAGGCAGAAGCCAAGAGGCTTTGTGTTGAACAAACTAACTGGTTCCTTTCAATAATGCCATTGTGAAAGGGAAATAGTATGCTTTTCCTGTCCGGGACTCACCATGTGGCATTAACACCAAGTGCTGCCAACCCCTTCTGAACCCTGAGAATGTGAGCTGTCAGCCTGGACCCTGACACATGGAGTTTAGTTTTCCTGAGCAGAGAGCTGGGAGTGGTTTGTTTCCAAATAGCCCCTAGGAGTGCCTTTGCCCCTTCTCAGCCCCTCTGGGTTTTCCTCAAGGATCTGGGTGCAGCAGAACTCTGCCTTGTGCTCTGAGGGTTGGAGTTGGAGGTGGCCCACCTTTCACAGCTCTAGGCCAGGGCTCTCCTTGGAGGCTCAAGCTCCACGTTCCTCCCTGCCCTGGGCCTTACCAGCGAGGATCATGGGAGCCCAGGGCATCCCACAGTGGCTCTGACAGGCTACCTGGGGAACCCTCCAGCCCTGCCCCAACCTGGTCCTCGGCCACTACCTCAGCGCCAGGAGGGACAGAGACCTTGTCTGTGGGGACAGGGCAGCCCCGAGGCCCGGGCACGAGGTCAGCTGCTCTCGACCAGGATAAAGATGGGCCGCCGGAGCTGAGATACCAACACAACAGTTGCCACCAGCCAGAGGGCGACAAGCATCACAGAACCGGCATCGGTGTCTCGGTGCCCATATTCCCGCCTCGCTGGCCACCTCGCAACCCAAAGGTGCACAAGGACTGTTGGCTCCGCATAAGCTGGCGACCTGGTAGCCCGGCCTCCCGAGTCGGTGCGGTTCCGTAGGGCACGGCATCCGGGTCACAGCGGCGTCTCCTCCTGCTCCAGCGCCAGCGGCGGCAGCTCGACCGTGCCCGGTGGCTGCAGCGAGGCCAGCTTGCGCAGTTCGGGGCGGCGGCGCGCGCGCGGCCGCTGGAACGAGCGCCGGCTGTGCACGCGCCGCGCTGCCGCCGACCGCGCATGCGCCCCGGGTCCTGGAATGCGAGCGGAAAGCGCGGGGCTCGTGGGTGGCAAGGGCGCGGGCTGCGGGACTGTGGGCGGACCTCGGCGCGGGGACGATCGTCCGGTCAGTGGCGTGTCGGAACCGGTGTCACCTGTGGGGTACAAGGCGTGAGGCCGTGGTGTCCAGGGCGAGGAAGGTCCCTGCTGTGCCCTGCGACGCGCTCCAAGCCAGCCCTCGATGGCGCCCGCCCCTCTTCGCACGCATTAACCACTCCAAGGACAGAGAAGGACACTGGGGAGGGGGATCCAGAAGAAGAACAGGGACAGGTGGAAGGACAGCAGTGGGCACTCGGCTGCACCGTCCCGAAGTCTCAGTGGCCCGGTTCACGGGGTGCCACAGTGATAGGCTAGGCCACGGCCTCTGCCAGCGTCCACAAAGCAGAACTCCCTCCCTCTTTGAAGTGGGCCTGAAAACTGACGTGGGCCAGGCCCATCCACCCACAACACTAATTTCCATCTGCACAGAGCACCGAAAGGAAAACCTGGAATGACCAAGAGCCTGCCGCCAGAGGGCTCTGCGGCCTCCTCACCTCCTCCTGGGTCCAGCCCTGCAGGAGCTCCAGCAAGGGTGCTGGGCAGCCACTCCTACACCTTCCCTGCACCCTGTGTATAAGAGATAGAAACACTGCCTCTGTCCTGGGCGTGCTCCTGCGCCTGGATAACCTGCAGGGCCCTTTCCTGCACATTGCCCTTCCTGCTTCGTGCTTCTGGGCTGGAGTGAGATTCATGCCGACCACACAGACTCCCCCGTGATCAGCTGATAATCTGAAAATGAATTCTCACTAGGACAACCTGCCAATGCCCTCAAGTCCTCTGGATCCCTATGTCCTAACAGGAGAAGCAGAGACAGACTGGTTCCTCAGCATCCCTTAAGAAATCTGCAACCAATGGAAGCTGGGGATCTAAGAGGAGGAGCTGCTGGAGAGAGCTGGAGAGTGCAGGTCCAGGAGTGCCCTGGAGGAAGCATCAGAGAGAACAGGCATTAGCGGGGTGTCAGTTACATGTGTGTGGATTCAGGAAGGGCATGGGGTCTCTCCTCAGGGGTGTCGGCCAGCAGGAAGGAGTCCACTGACTTGTTGCTGAGGCGGAAGGGTGCCAGGCGGCGGAAGTTGCCGGGAGACTGGGGGATCTGAACACGGGCCCTCTGAGAGGGCACCACAGTCTCCCCAGGGGACAGCCAGGGTGGCACCCTGGCAAGGATGCTGGGGTCCAGGTCCTCATCCGGGGAGAACACAGGGTTGTCAATTCCTAGGAGAGAGGGCAGTGCTAATTAGCCTTGCAGGAGCCCCAGCAGGGTGGGGGCACACGCTGTACAGGCCAACCGAAGCTCCTTCTGTGACTACAAGGTCACTTGTATGGTCCATCCTGTGCCTTTAAGCCTGCAGCCCTCACCCCCATTCCTTCCCTGGCCTGCTGGACCACCTGCCCTGGGGAAGGTTGCCAGGGTAGAGGAAGCAGCACCACAACTGGGGCTCTCTGGCCACCAGCGGTGCCCCCCCATCCCCAGCATCCCTCACCTGCTGGAGAGTCTGAGGCTGTGTCCTTTGTGATGTTGGCCAGAAACTCAATGCCCCCACTGGTCTCCTCAGCTTCATAATCTGGGGCCTCCTCAGGGTCCGAAAATTCCAAATCTTTGGGGCAGGGAACAAGAGGAAGAAACTGGGCTGGAGCTAGAGTGAACCAAGTCCTTGGCAGCTAGTGTGCATCCCAGGGGTTGTCACTGTGGCTCCCATGACCCGGCAGCACTTGCGCAGCCCAGTAGCCCGGGACTAGGGTGGGCTGAGCAGGGGCAGAACCACCCCCTGTTCCCCTGACCCAACTGTGGGAGTGGACACCACTTTGTGGCTGGGCCAGAGAGGATAGGAAGAGAGGGCTTGTCCTTGTGACCCATGGGTTAACACCCTACCTTTCTCCTTGATGGTGAAGTTATGGGCCGGGCTCTCCATGGGCAGCTTCCCATTGGGGATGCTGCTGTTCCTCTGTGGACAAGTTTGAGCCCTTACAGATGCACCCCATATTTAGACCCAGCCCACGCCCGACCCCCTGACCCTGCCTTGTGTCCAGCGCTCTGCTGAACTCAGCTCCCCTCGCTCTGTCCACACTGCTCCCTCACCCGCTTCTGTGCACGGTCCCTCTTGTACAGCTTGGCTGCCTTCTTGTTCTGGTTGATGCCCAGCTTGGCTGACTTGAAGGACTCCAGGCGCTTGCGCATGGTCCTGTGGAAGATTTCCTTGTCCTGCTTTTCAGCCTCGCTAGGTGTCAGCTTGTGTCGGCTGTAGAGGTGCTTATACTAAGGAGAGGTAGCGGGGTAGGCTGGTGGTCAGGAGGAGTGGCCCAGACCCCCTCATCCTGGGGAGGCGAGGACCCCAGTGGAGGAGAAGGGCTGTGCAACCCTGAGCCTACCTCCTGCCTTGGCTTGTACAGGTACTGCTGCAGCGTGTGGTGGGTGACCATGTCCTCTGTGTCACGGATGCTCTTTCGTCGCTGCTCCAGAGACTGCATGTCCAGGCGTACAGCACTCACATTCTCCCTCCTGCACAGACAGATGCTGAGCTAGGACCTGGCCTGGGGATTGCTGCTGTCCTTCACCCCTTGACCAGACCTGGAGCTCTGGTCCCCTGGATGCCTGGCTAGCTCCTCTTCTGCATGGGGCTTTATTTGACTGGCCCTTTTGGAGCCTCCCCACCTTGTTTAAGGTATCCAGCAGTCTCCCTCCAAAACCCCACCTGAGACCCCAGAAGTATCTGCCCACTACTCTCCCCATCCTCAGACCTGCACCAATGACTGGCCAGAGCCAGCCATCAGCTTCCAGGCCAGCATATGGAAATCCCAGACCTGCCCAGTCCTGGTCTAGGACTTCACATCTGGGCACACACTCAGGCCTCAAGCCCCTGCATCTGCTAGCCCCACCCCACCCCTTCCTGCATCTGCTTCACAAGAACATGACCTTGCTGCCTGTTCCAAAAGGTTCACCTGTGTGATGTCAATGCTGGCCCCTCTTTCTGGATCCCTTCACCCTGTGTCCAGGCCAAGAAGCCCATTTAGGGCCTGTAGGAGGAGGTGATCAGGGACCCAAGAGTGTATAGGCAAGGGGTGGCCTCAGGGATACGTACAGGAGGTAGGAGACTGAAGCCTCCACAGTAGATGGGTGAGGCATGCTGAAGTCCACGTTGACCATGTTGTCAGTGCTTGGGGAGCGAATGAAGGCCAGGGACCCACGCCGTTCTCCCTGAAAGAAGTATCTGGTTGACCAACAAAGAAGGTGGGTGGGCAGTACCTCTGACAGGAAGGCCAGACCTGGTCCCTATGCTTGGGGACCCATGGCTCCAGGAGACAGAGATGGAGCCCAGGGAAGGCAAGTTCTTCTCTATGTCCATCCCAGGACAGCCTCCTGGAGGCACTTGGGAGTTTAGGGAAACACGGTCCACACCTGGAGATGAGGAAAATGGCCCCGTCCCCAACAGGTCTCCAAGCCCCAGGCTTCAGGCCCAGAAGGGACTTGGGTCACTTCCCCCCTACCCCACCCCAGGACTTGGGTGGAGGGAGCTGAGCCCAAGGCCGTGATCGTGAGTCAGGATCGGGTTGGGCATAGTTGAGGCGCAGGGCCCTTCCTGGTGTCCAGTCATCTGCATGGAGGTGAGGAGCACCCCAGAGACAGGAAGCAGCAAGCAGAGGGTACCAGAGGCCCTTTCCTGTCCCCTTTCAGACTGCTGCATCTCAGAAGGCTGGGTTTGCCTCTGTGTGAGTTCTGCCCTAGAGGAAGCCTGCCTGGCGCCTGAGGCTGAGGAGTGCTCTGCATGTGGGCAGCCTGGCCCTAAACCTGAGCTTGAGAGCCACAGGGTCCAGGGGACATGGACATGTACCAGTAGTGGGTCACGGATGCACTGGCAACAAAACAGTCACATGTATGCCTTGGGGTGGTGGCCTGGCTTCTCATCTTCTGAGGTGGGGGAGTAAGGGTAGGCTGGGATCTTTGGTGACCTGCCCATCACCTTTATGTCCCATCCCACACATCCTGAGCCCTGAGGGCAAGCTGGGATGGTCAGGTGCAGCGCTTGTGCCATAAGACCCTAGGGGGCCACAGCAGGGCCAGTCCTCTAATTCCAGGAGAGGGATAGATGAAACATTCCCATACCTCAGCCACATAGCTAATGGCATCCTTCAGGTTCAGCTCATGGAAAACATTCAGAATCCGATCTCGAGATTTTTGGGCTGACCTTCTCATGAGGACTTTGCTGAGGATCTTCCTGTCAAAATTGGACCACCTGAGGACAAACAGTCACACCGTCAGCACTCATGGCCTGGGGCTCCTGCCCCACAGGGACCTAGACATAGGGATGGATGGACAGAAGTCTATGGAGCTGCACCTACCACAAGACTGTCCCATTTATCTTGGGTTTCCTGGCCCAAGACACCGTGTGGGTGACATCAGCTGTGCCACCAGTACCATCCCATCACTCTGCTCCCATTCGATGGTGGTATCAGTAGAATGCAAAGAAAACCATCATCTCACATGACTTCATGAGGGTTCCAAGGGCCATGTGAGCCTCAGAGGGTGGCACAAGGACAGGGCTGGCATTAGGGGGCTGTTTGCCCTCTTCCAGCTCTGAGGGAGCATGCCTGGGCTTTGCGCTAACTCTGCTTCCCCTGGTGGAATGTGAATGATTATCTCATACAGCAGGGCCTACGTGTGCGACTCTTTACTTCCTTATTGGAGTTACAGAATTTTAAGTGTCAAGTGTATTTTATAATAAAATAGAAATAGATGATTCTATTTCCTGGGCATATAATTTTAAACTCTGATGGATGCTAACATACCCTTCCTGTGTTCATAGAATAGGGGAGATTATTTATTTTCCTGATTTTCAATTCCCACATAATTTGGCAATTTGGAATTAAGCAGCCATAGTGAAAGGGCATTACTTTCTTCCCAGGAACAAGATCTGTGTCATTGACATGTCCACAGCGCCAGCCCCTCTGCAGGCATCAGCTTCTTCACCTGTGTGCACCTGCAGGTCTAGGTCACACTGACCCTTTCCAGGTGTCCTCTGAGTGGCTGGACCAGACCAGAACCCAGACAGCTTGCCTGATGGGCCTGGCCCTCTTGAATGAGGGTCCTCCAGAAGCTGGTCATGAGATCCTTGGGGCACAGTGACACAATCTACATGGCCCTGTCTAGCTCCTATGTCTCTCAGCCCTATGATCCAGGGTCACCAACTGAAGGAAGAGCAGGAAGCCAACAGCTGAGACCAATGTGCATAACAGGCTGTACCCATTTGGCCTAGGATTTGTCCGGACGGCTCAGGCCACTTACTTATCTCTGAGATAATTGTGCCCGATCTGTCCCGAGATGTCCTCTATGGCTGAGAGGATGTGGTCAAAAGCCTGTTGGAGAAAAGGATTGATCAGAGGCCACAGGATGGCCCAGCCCCTCTAGCAAGCAGGGGCCATGCAGGTGACATGGTGCTCCTCCCTCCCGTCCTCCCCCATATCCCCACCCTACCCGGCCATGCAGCTTCTCATTGAGCTTGGGCTCCCTCTGCTCGCTCCGCTTCACCTTCAGCCACTGCACCAGGGGCTTGATGGTCAGGCCCTGGGAAGCAGACAGCCTTGCTGACCCACAGCCAGGCAAGCCCCACCCTGTGTGAGGCCACAGTGAGCCCCAGTCTACCCTGTCAAGCAGCATGACACCAGAAAGTATTAACTGGGCCTCTGCACATCCACCACCTGGGAACCACACTCAGGACAACTGGGCTGCATCCCCTGTGGAGCCACATGAAAACCTACAAAGTTCTCCTAGTTACTAAAATTACAAACTCCAATTTGGGTCGGAGCCTGGAAACACTGGTCCCACAGCACCTGGGGCAGGGATGGGGCCGCCTTGCAGCTGAGCTGTACCTGAAAGATGACTGTGAAGAAGACGACAATCAACGTAGTGCTGACAAACAGTTTCTTCTCTTTGACCTTCTTCTCATCCAGAAGCACAACCAGGGCATAGGCCACAGCCCCTCGCAGGCCACCATAGGACATCACCACCTGGTCGATGGTCTCCAGCTGCACCATGCGGTACCGGTTCAGGATCCAGGTCTGCAGGACGACTCCTGCAATGGGGAAGGAGGCTCAGCTTTGTGGCCCCCACCCTGGGTCAACTCAGGTGCCTTCAAGCCACATGCCCTGCAGGGGCCCTGTGCCCTGAACCTGTCCCCCTTGACCCTCAGACAGCACCTCCATCTCAAGGCTGCGAGGAAGCCTGGACACTCAGGGTTGGTGGCCAGGCTGGTCTTCGGGGTGCTGCCCTGGGCCCCAAACCTATCGCCCCTGAATGTCCCAGTCCTCACCAATGGCCCGGTACACGGAGATGAAAAGCAGCGTGAGCAGCACGAAGGCCGTGTTCCAGGTCCAGATGAGAGGGTCCACGGCAGAGATGCCCAGGAACATGAAAATGATGGTCTCTGCTGCGCTGGCCAGCATTTTCATGGTGTAGCGCACCGTGGTGGCTGACTGCTCTGAGATGTTGGCCTTCACATACTTCTGGCAGCAGATGCCACAGAAGGTGATTCTGGGGGCAGATGGGAGGCCATGAGTCTGTCGCTCAGTGGGCTGCCCCTGGGGACTGGACTCTTTCCAAGGCCCAGCCCTGACCATCCCTCAGCCTGGTGGTGTCATAAGCATCACAGGCAGTGTCTGCATCCTGGACCAACATCCTCTCACTGATCAGCCTTGTACCATGTGGACCAACTGGGCTTCTCTTGGGCTGGTGCCCTGAGCTAGGTGTTTTCTGCTGCCCTCTGCCCCCTGCCTAGGCCTGGGCACTCAGAAGTACAGTGATCTGTTCCTGAACCTCAAGTGATAGCCTCTGCATCTATCCATGGCCTCCACAGGCTATTGGTGTCTTTTGGGCCATGCTAACCTTGAAGGAACCCTGTCTGGGCAAAGGGCTGCATGCCTGAGCAGATGGCCTCAGCCCACAAGATCACATGTGAACCGTCTAGCCCCAACTACTCCCCAGCAGGCTCTGCCACCGCAGACAATTCGGCAGAAACACCCAGCCCTTATTTAAAAATAAATAAATAAAATTCCTCAACCCACACAATAAATTTCCACCCAGCTCAGGGACCAGGCAGCTGGAATGTGTGCTCTAACAGTTGAGCCCATGGAGGGCAATGTGGGTCCACCCCATGTCCCCTGCCATGGGGGCTGAGTATGAATGGCTGGGCATGAATTTGCCCACACTGGCTTTTAGGGAGTGCCCTGGAGTCCTGGCCTCTGCCCAGCTGCCTGCAGGGCTGCTGCTTAAATTCCAGGCTCCATGCACACCCAGGGACTTACGCCAGGATTGCAGACAGGGACAGCATCTCAGATGTGAGGTAGGACAAGTAGGAGATGACGAAGACGAAGCCGGGTTCAATGATACGCACGTGCTTGGTGAAGCGGGTCACCAAGGACAGCAGGAAGGCGAAGACCACTCCCACTAGCGTGCCCCCCAGGCTCACCACGAAGAAGGACACTGCAAGGGACAGGGTGCAGCTAAGGCGCTTGAATGGCCCTTTGTGCAGGGTGTGGGCGAGGCCATGCCGCTTGGGCTTTCCTCCCCAGCATTTTCTTGTGGGGGTTGCCTGGCAACTGCCCATGGAGGTCCAAGAGCTCAGGAACCGGCTGGTCCCTGCTCTCCAGGGAGAGGGTCCCATCTTCGAACCAGCTTCAGAGCAGAAAGGGGCAGAGGGTGGCACCTCGCCCCTGGGAACCCCAGACCCCATGAGGAAACATCACCCAGATGCAGCCCTGTGGCCTGGGCCGGCAGCCAGGACCAGACACCATGTTATCTGATACTGTCCATCTGTCCTTTCCCAGGAACTCCAGGATGACTGTTTCCCTACCCAGAGAGCCACCCAGAACCCCTCTGGACCCGCACTGTGTTTGAGGTATCTGAGAAAGGGATGTGCACAGGGCTCAATTCTGCAACTGTAATGGTTTGATCTAAATTGTGCCCCATGTCCTGTGTGTTTGCAGGTGAGGTTTTGGAAGGTAATTGGATCACAGGGTGAAAACCTCATCTACTTATGAACCCATCAATGGATTCACAGCTGAAGAGCTGTTAAGAGAGGAGCCTGGGTGGAATACGTGGTCATTCGGTGTGATCTGCAGTGTGTCTTGTCCCCAGCTCCCCCTCCTCTCTCTTCCTCGGGCTCCTTCTCTCCCTCTACTTCGTCCCTCCTTCTTCTCCACTTCCTGGTTGCCATTACATGAGCAGCTGTCCTCTGCCAGGGCTTCCACCATGCTGTTTCTTCTCGGAGCCAGCCCATCATGGACTGACCCTCTGAAACCAGGAGCCAAGTGAACCTCTCCTTCCCTAAGCTGTATTTTCCCCTGACAACAGAAATCCAGCCAACACAGCAGCATGGTAGAAAAGCTTTTTTCTGTTGGGTCTGTGGGATGAAGAGTGGCAGAGGACAGGCCTGAGGCTGGGGATGCAGGGCCTACCAGCTACATACCTATGCCCTTCACGCAGTCCACACCCGTCACTTTGTCACCACCCAGTGTCACAAAAGACTCAAACACATTGTACAGGACCTGAGGGACAGAAGATGTAACACATTTGGTTAGCGCGTGCTCACAGCTGGCCTTTCCTCCTCCTAGTGCTCAGTCTCATGGATTTGGATCCTGTGTGGAGCGCAGGAGAGCAGATCTTACAAAGGAGGCTGTCAGTAGGAAGAGAGTAGAAGATGAGCATGGATAAATGGATGAGAGAATGTTCTAGAAATGGCCAGAGCTGCTGGCTGAATTCCTGAGGTCTCAATGGGTTCCCAGCTGCCCCAAGAGCCATGCAAGCTCTGGTGAAAGCAGTGAGGGCCCTGTGTTGTCCTGGCCTGGCCTGAGGGGATGCAGGAAGTCAGCATTCAGGGTCACTGTGAGCAAACACATGTCCTCAGGGCCTGTGTCCACTATCTGCAAAGTCGCCCCCCCCCACGCCAAATCATCCACTCTGTCCTCCCATGAGGACAACCTGGGGATGGGTGTGAGACTTCCCCTGCACCCCAGCTGTGAAAGGCAACAGCTGCTCCTCACCTGCAGCTTGTGGCACACAGCACTTGCCACCCACTCCCTGAGGAGCCATCTCCTGGGGAAACAACTTACAGAAATGGCAGCTTTGGCTTCCTTGACTGCTCTGAGGGCTGAATGTTCCCCTACTAAATTCACTTGTTGACTCTTGACACCAGGGTCTCAAAATGTCTCTGTTTGTGATGATGGGGCCTTTGTAGAGATGACAAAGGTAAAAATAAAATAAAATAAAGGGGTTACCTGGTGGACCTAACCCACCCTGACTGGTGTTCTTAAGGAGAGGAGGTCAGGGCACAGACATGCTGGCCCTTCCGCATCCTTGTGAAGACATAAGGAGGAGATGGTGTCCCACATGCCCAGGAGAGATGCAGAGGAGCCAGCCCCTGCACCCTGACCTCAGGTTTCAGCCTCCAGGACAGTGGGAAATAGGCCTCTGGTTTAAGCCCTGGAAGCCCAAGCAGACAATGTAATCTGTATGAGATTTTGTTGTTTATTCATCTACTTTGAGGAAGTCAGGAAGGGGTGGCACCAAGTGTGGGCCACCACTGACATCCCTTGCTGTGGGGACTGTGACTGTGGGATAGCAGCCATGTGACCCGACTTGGAAGGCTTGGATGGATGGATCCACAGCGGTGAGAAAGTGAAAAAAAGGGAAGGATCAATGTATCAGAGCTCTGAGTTAGGAGGGAGAACAGGCTAGGTCACCCATGCGCCACACACTGGGTGCTACTAGCAAGAGGGATAGCAAAGCACCTGCTCAGAGGGGACGTCCTGGGCTGCTGCAGAGCCGAACAAGGGGTTGGCTGTGCATGGCAGATCCCTCAGTCTTGCTTACTGATCCCAGGGATGGGAGTGACAGTCACTGGGCCCCAGGTCCCTGGCCTTGCTGTAACCTTAACGGATACACTCTGTCTGGGCCTCAAGGGCCTGCCTGTTGCTCACCACAGTCACGGCATCATTCAGCAGTGACTCCCCAAAGACGATGATAAACAGGACCTCATTGACATGGACTTCCTCAAACACAGCCAGGACAGCCACCGGATCCACAGCAGCGATGAGGCTGCCAAACAGCAGGAAGTCCAGGAGCCCAATCTGCAAGTCACCTGCAGGACAAATGGGCAAGAGTGAAACATGACTCCTGCCCGGAACGAAAGCCAGGAAGCCAGGGCAGGGGGTCCTCAGCCTCTGCTACCAGCCCCAGACCTCACAGCCCCAGGGAGAGGTGGAGGGATGGACACCTGTGGTGCCTCAGGCTAAGGGCTAGTGATGGGGCTGGGGACCCTCAGGGACAGCCAGAGGGAGCCCATGGCCGGACATCCGCAGGATGCCAGGGCAGCTGGGTTCTCACAAGGGCTTCACTCTCCCTCCTGGCTTGAGTCAGACTCCCCTGGGGTCAAGGTGCAAGGCTGGCTGGGGGAAAGCGTATACGTGCTCACCCAGGAAAGGCGAGCACCAGGAACACAGATGCACTGGCCAGCCCCTCAGGCTTCTTCTCTGCTTGCAACACAACCTGGGATGCCACAGACATCACCTACCTGTGGTGGCTGTCCGGCAAAGGCAAGTGTGACCCTCATGGGCTGTGGGGATCAGTCCAGGAGTCCCTGAGCCAGCCCTGAAGCAGCCATCATCATGGGTGCCCTGACCATGTTCACCACCGCCTGTGATGGAGGACCCGCACACACACACCCACCAGCCACACTCCCTGGTGGTTCTCTGAGAGGGGCTAGACAACAGGGGCACTTGAGGGAGCACCTTGTGAGGGGACACCGTCCTGAGGGGTGGGTGTGCCCAGAATGACTCCTTTCCCTGTCCACGGTCTCCGGCTCAAGGCAGTGTCCCCCACTGATCAAACCTCGAGACACAGTGGGGGACCCAGGGGGCACTGGACCTCATGCACCCCGCCTTGGCCTCCGCATCTGCCCAGCGTACTGGCCTCCTTGCTGGGGACTCACCCATCAGGCCACTGCGGAAGACGCCGTAAAGTGACAGGCCTGTGGTGGCCGCGTTCCACACGGTGCCAATAACCGCATACAGCAAGATGGTGCCCAAGTTCCCGAAGAAGAGTCGGTTGGGCATGAAGTAGCCAGCGTCCAGCACAATGGGGGGCAGCAGGTAGAAGAAGAAGACCGTGGGCGTCATTGTGAAGGAGGCAATGTGGTCGGCTGCCCAGACGATGCCCCCCAGCACCAGGCCCAGCACGATGAGCAGCGCACTCTCAGGCACGACGCTGGTGACCTTGTGGGACAGGTGGAACACTGCGGGCAGGGGAGCAAGGTCAGGGGTGTGGGGGAGAGGGGAGGGGACCCACAGGGAGGACAGGGCGCCTGATGGGGGCCAGGTCCCTCCCAGGGCCACACCTGTGGAAGCAGGGCCAGGTCCCTCATTCCAGGCCCCTGAGGCACCTGCAAGGCTCCTCCCTGTCCCCAACCCAGGCACTTCAAAGGGCATGGGGATGATGATGCCCATTCAAAGCTGGCATCTAAAGATAGGGCCCCATAGGCCAGTGTCTCCCTCATGTACAGAGGGAGGGATCCTAGGATGAGGGAGGGATGACACCACAGCCCCAGGGGATCCAACCTAACCTCTAGGGGTCCAGCCCTACACCTACCAGTTACCCTCTTCTGCACCTGGGGCTTGTCCCCTCCCCTGGAGGCACAGTCCTTTCCCCAGTCACAGACCCCAGGAACAGGCCCTGAGGAAGGGTCTCCAGGTCTCACAGGCACCCCTTGGTCTCCACATTCAAGCTTTCAGGGGCTGCCAACGGCTCTGCCCACATCCAGCTCTGCATGGGCCACACCTGTCTGTTCCATTTGGACGTGAGAAACAGGAGAGCAGCATTCCTGTCTTAAGCTGGATTGCAAAACAGCTGGGGTGGTGACATTTGAGGATGACTCCCCCGGTTTAAGCAATGTATGGCCTAGTATCTCTCAGCACTGCAGTCTTATTATTGACCTGACTTCTTTGAGCCTGAGGAAGGTTGTTCTGAAACACCAAGACCCCGGCTGGGCCCAGAGCAGTAGGAGGAGCAGAGGGACCCTGCCTGGATAGGAGAAGGGGTAAGGTGGGAGGCAGTGGGCTCATGGGGTGGGTCCCAGTATTATAGACAGTTAGGTTCGGTAGAAACATTTTAGGCAGTCAGACAAGGCTCCCTCCAGGGAGTACCTGGAGGGAGTCAGTGCAGAGAGTGAGAACACAGCACAACTGTGACTGCATTTGTCAAAGGCCAGGCTTCAAATAAAGATGGAATGACCAGATCGACAGGCCTCCCTGAGGGATAAGCAATAAATTAAAGATTATACCTCCTGGCCCGATAAAGTCTAGATAAGCATCAGTCCCCCCAGTATGTGACCAGGACCTCCCGATCCACCCCTTCCTGAGAAGGTCCTTGTCCTCTCATGTGCACTTGCTCTGTGACCGGCTTCCCCATGGACCAGCACTACCTAAGTGGCAATGCTTGAAATCTTACTGGTTGATCATAGTTTCGTCCCACCTTGCACCTACCTCGTGATTTTGGTCTATAAAACTTCCTCTGGAAGGTGGGGTCCACGGCAACCCACTTTTAGGCTCCCTCATATCTCAGGAACACACTGTCTGTCTGTCTGTCTCTCTCTGTGTCTGTCTGTCTCTCTGTGTGTCTGTCTCTCTCAATAAGGTTTTTGTACTCTTAACCTCCATTGTTCTTTAGAATCCATTCTACAGTTTTGGGGAACATGCACTCAGCATATCTGACATCCAGCAGGTTGAGAGTTACATTTTTCCCCTGTATCACCAGGATCCACCCATCCTCACCAGGTGGCCTGCACTGGGTTTCCAAGCCTGCTTCTCCATTTGTACTTGGGGATGACTGCTGGGAATAGATGACCCCACACCTGGGGGAGGTACCCTGGCAACTGTTGGCTGCACACAGCCCCACATCAAATGCCAGAGCTGCCCTCCATGAGCCTGGGTGAGAAGCATGGCACTGGGGAGTCTGTGTGCACTGCCACAGCCTTTGACCCTGTTACCAGGGCAAGGCTCAGACTGACACACTCTCGCTCACTGGCCTGTGGTCCCCATTCCAAGTTTGGAAATTCTGGCAGCAGAGGCAGATGAGCCCCCTCAGCCTCCAGCAGTGCCCCATGTTGATTACCCTTTGTGCAGTGACTGAGGCTCAGTTTCCCCTCCCAGTTCAAACCCTGGGAGCCAGTGTCACATGGATGATGACTGCTAAACATGCTGGGCACAGGAGAAGAATGTGTCACAGATAGTGACTACCTGGAATGACGGAGGCTGGTTCCCTGGAATCCTCAGGGTCCTGCTCATGGCTCGCAGGGAGAGAGGCCACCTTGTGGGAGAAGAGGCCCTGCCCCAGGCCTCCAGTGCCACTACCTGGACAGATAGCCGAGAGCTCACAGGCCCAGGCGGTACCCAGCTCAGGAGTCTGCATTCAGGAGTCTGAAGCCTGGAGTCATGCTGTAGACCCTGAACCCAGGGCAGCATGGCTGGAGGAGGCCAGGGCACATGCTCCCTGCTCCAAGCCTCCTGATTCCTTATCAAGCCCAGAGATGGCCCGATGGTGCTATGCTCTGTTTTTCCCAAACCATGATGCTGGGCTCAGTGTCCGCAGCTGTGCCCAGAAAACCTGAGGCCCTGTCCCAAGCCAACACCCCTTCTGCAGCTCCCACATGCCCCAGGGTGGAGTGGCTCCTTTCTCCTTGACAGAGGATGTGTGACCGTGGCAGTGTCCCTGATCCCCAGAGCCCAAGCACAGCACCCGCTAGAGGCTGTGCAGACCCCACCCAGATCTTCTCCATGATGCTGCGTCTGCCTTTCTTCATGCCCGAGTTGGCAGGGATCACTTACACTTGTGACAGCTGAGTCCCTGCCGTGACCCCCGTTCAGGGCCCCATGCTTTAGGGGGCCTGCTCTTGATGCTCCACAGGTTAGACAGCAGAAGGACCAGCGACCTTGGAGCTCCAGCTTCAGCCCCGCTGGGAGGCAGCCATGCAGACATCTGCACAGGACTTGGGTCCTAGACTGCGGGGGGTTCGCAGAGATTGCACCTTCAGAAAGTTCAGGGAGGCTGTGAGGCTGGGCTTATCTCAAAGCAGCAGCATAACACTGCCCTTTGGGAGCTCTGGTGACATAATACTGCACATTGATTCTCCTCATGTTCAGTGTGGCAGCTGATGCCTGAAGATGGTCATTCATCAAGAGCTCAGGTGGATGGAGGGTAGGCTGGCTCCACAACAGACATACTTCAGTAGGTCCTGAAAACCCGCAGAAAAAATAATTGCTCTTTTGACTCCCCAAGAAGAGCAGGTACCCACATGCGGTGGAGATGGAAGTGGAATGCTTGCAGCCCTTTGCCATCCCATCTCCCACCAGCATCTCCAGGGGACAGAGCCAAGCCTCTTGCACTCAGCGAGGTCTGGCATCTTCTTGTGTGTAGGAGGCATGTCTTTCCTGTCCTGTGAGCTGTTTATTTGTAGATGTTGCTGGCTTCTTCATCTTCACTGACACATGGCTCTTCCTGGGCTGAGACCTCTGCCCTAGCCAACATGATGTCTGTTGGGTTACCCCATACCCGAGGATGGCAGGACAGTGGGAGTCCTCTGGTGCTCCATCTGTCAGGCCTTCCTGTGTCCATCTTCTTCTGTCCTCCTCCGACCAGGGTCAGGCTCTCCTGGACACCAAGTACCACTTCCCTCTGACCTCAGCCTCTGCTCTGGAGCCACAAACCCCAACTCTGTCCTTAACTGCAGGCCCTGTCCTATGCTGCAAAAATGGGCTACACCACCTCCAAAGCTGGGCCACGTGGCTACTAGGCTGTGTGGCTTGGGCTCAGGGGATACCACCTCTGGGCTACAGGAAGGGCTCCACCAGCTGGGCTCTGCCTCTTCCACAGTGGTGCTGCTTCTCTGTTTTTCTGTCTGGGTGCCAGAAGTTGCTTCTCACCTCAAAGACAGCCTGGTTGCAATCAGGGAGCTCCACACCACAGTCATGCCCCTTTCAGCTGAGGCTTTGCTCTTCCTCCCCTTCCTAGGATGTCTTGGAGCTCTGGACCACACAGCTGTGCCTGTGTACATCTTCCCTCTGGAGCTTGGTCATCTCAGCCTTTTCTCCAAGCCTCTGCCGAGCATGGTGTGAGCTCTCACTGCCTGCTCCTGAGCCAGGACAGGTCCTGGTGCCGGTGTAATTGGGGCACCCCCAGCCTGGGCAGTGGTCTGGCCCTGTGACCGCCTCTCAGGCACAGTTTGCATTGTAATTAGATACTTAAACGGAAGATTCAGTGGTGTTAAGTGGCCGTCTGCCAGTGGCTCAGCAGTTGGGGGCATGGTGGCATTTCAGGAGTCGGAGCCCGTTCCTGCCAGGTGGCCTGCGGTGAACACCCACAGCTGGCTGCAGGGCTTAACGGTGGGGACAGCCACAGGCACTGGGCTGGTTCCGACTTGCTGCAGTCTGGCATTTGGAGTTGTGGTTTGGGAGATGCAGGTTGCTGGGCACATCCCCGCCCCTGTCCATGTCACAGATGGGTGACATCCTTCCCACACTGAGAATTAGTCACTGCTATTCCCAATCATGTGAGTCTTCAGTGTGTGAGAGGGTCGCAGGGGTGCCTGCGACCATCCTTATCTGCACACAGCGCCCTCTCACATTGCTAGGCCCAGGCTTGGGGCCATGAAACACCAGCACAGTGTGAGCACCCCAGGAAGGAGCTACTGCCTTGGCCTGCAGCCTATAGGGCCCAGCTACCAGGCCTCTCCACGCTCTGGTTCTCAGTCAACTGAGGTCGCTGGGGAAAGTGCAACCCCATAGGCTGGGGCAGATGCCGGGGTCTGAGCCTGGCGGGTCCCCGAAGGCTATGGGCAAAGGTGCGGCGGGGGGGGGGCTCTGGTTGGTGCTGATGGGGGTACACCCTCAGGAGACAGGGCCTCGTGGGAACCCTGTCTCTATCATTTTCTTTTCACCATTGCCATGAGGTGTTTGCTCCATCCACACTTGCAATGTGCTATGCCACAATAGCCCAGAGCAGCAGAGCCAGCCATCAGGGCTGGAACCTCCAGACCAACAGAGCCAGGTTAACCTTCCCTCCTGCTGAGTGACTGTCTCAGGTGCTCAATGCAGTGACAACAGCTGGGCACATGGCAGAGGGCATGTGGGGGTTGCACAAACATACACAGGTTGGAGCCAGTCTCTAAGTATGACCTGGAAGAAACCAGCAATAGTGGCTGGAGCGGGGAGGGCCTTTCGAGGACAGCAGAAAGCATCGAGG